GAATGGGGGAAGTAAGCCGAGGACGTTCAATTGGGTCATTGTTCAGAAATGCCTTCTCTGTAACATGTCTGCCTCCTGTCACCAACAACTACCTGGAGTTGATGGGTTCCCAAAGGCCCGTGTAAAACATAAAATCCGTCAACAGGATTTCCTCTAGCAAGAGAATGTAAAAGCAGAATTTCTTAGCAGAAGAGCTGACAACCTGTGGGGTTGAAAAACAAAACCAAATAAACTGTGGATCCAGAAAAATGACCACTTTGGGCCATCTCAAAAACAGAGTCAGTCCCTTAGAGACTCCCATGTGAAAACCCCCAACTTCACAGCAATCTAACAATGCAATCTGCATTCACAAACACATTTTTAACACTAATTCATGTCTGCAAACCTAGATGGAAATGCATGGAGGGTACTTTGGGTTCAACATCTTGCCCATGGATACTTCTGCATACAGGTGCAGGAGCTGGGTATTGAGTCACCAACCTAATGAATACTAGACAACCCGCTCTAAATTAGCCAGCATCTAAATGAGCCACCATAAACAAAAACAAGATTTCTGAGGACAGTAGAATAGAATTGGGTAACCAGTGAGGAGTATAAGATCTTCAAATGTCTAATAGGTTTATTTAAAAAAGGTACTTGTGTCCACCTGTGAATGATTTCCCTGTAATATTAACATACCTGTGACCTAAACGAATAAAAAATGTATTAGTGATGCTGGTGCTGCATGTTTAAGTCCAACTTGTCCTCTTCTTTCCTTTAGGTTTGGTCCAGATTCCAGTCAGCATGTACCAGACGGTAGTCACCAGCCTTGCCCAGGGTAACCGGCCCGTCCAGGTTGCAATGGCGCCTGTCGCCACACGCATAGATAACACTGTCACACTGGACGGCCAGGCAGTGGAGGTCGTAACCCTGGAGCAGTGACCTTGGAAGGAGCAGAAAGCACTGATTGGCCACCTAGGAGATTTGTTTATCTGTTCTGTTTTCCGAGACATCATGCTGTGTACAATGTCAAATATATTTTTAAATGTGCATCTGCAGGGGAAGTGTGTTATCAATGCATTGTGTTTACTATGTAAAGAGATTGCGTTTGTTGGTGTATTTTTCCCATTTAGCGTTGTTTTTTTGGTTGTTTTTTGGGGTTTTTTTTAGCTCTGTGAAGTTGAGTATTTAGTATTTATTTCTTTACAATTAACCTTTGCTTAAAACAAAGATGAACCAAAAAGCTCGGGAGGAAAGCCACCCCTGTTTCACTGAGTGTGTCTCTTGTCTTTGTTTGGGATTTTTCACTATATTGTCCATGCTCAACTGTTTCTGTTATTAGGATGACGAATTCAGTGCCATAGTCGGAAAGTCACTCCTGTGTTTCGCCATATTCACAATTGCTGTTCCCACCTCAACTCACTAATTCTCTCACTGTACAACACAGCATCTGAGATGCAGACACTCCCAGAAAGGCTTGCCCTGTTGGGTTTTTTCCCCCTTTTTTTTGTTCTACTGTAATCCAAGTACATGCCAAAATTTTGCAAAGACTCAGGATAACTTTCTTTTTTTTAACTGTTGGATGGCGGAGAGGACTTACTGACGCAGTCTTTTTGTCCACCAAATTTTTTTAAAATTTTTTTTCCTAGTGCATGGATTCGAGGAGGCAACCGTGTTATTTGCAACATGAACTCCTTTGTATGTCACGCAGGACTCGGTGGTCTCCATCACTTTGTATGTCACAGGAAGCTGGTCATACTTGGACAGAAGCTGCACTATTTGTGATCCACGAAAGGATTTGCCACACGAAAAAACCATGCTTGCCGAGAATCAACTCTGTTTGATGAAGGTGTAACAGTTGGTGTGACTTTCACCAAAATTGTGTATTTGGAAAAAAATGAAGTCCAATAAAATGGCTGCTGTTCACCATTTATCCAGTTTCTCGGGTATTATTATACTCTTGATCCAAAAGCCTAACAATTAGTGGATTTTGTCATATTAACATCAAACATACATGTGAAAAGTCAGCTCCATAAAACCTTTTTGGCATCTGCAGGTTGGTTTTGTGATATCCTACAGCAGGAGTGTCCAACTCCAGTCCTCGACAGCTGCTGTCCTGCAGCTTTTAGATGCATCCTTGCTCCAACACCGCTGAATCAAATGACTGTATCGCCTCTTCAGCATGCCATCAACTTTGGTAAAGGTCTGATAACAAGTCATTCATTTGATTCAGTATAGTTTATACTTCAAATTCTGAAGATGGCCATAAAAAATGACTAATAATACATGTAAAGCCAAAGTTAAATGTGCTTTTCAGTGTTACGATGCTCACTTTTGCCTTTGTATATCAGTGAGAGATCATATCCCTAATATGGCAATCTCAGACATAGCTCCACCCACTTGCTTTCCAAGTTATCTGTATGCCAGAGACAGAATCAGAAAAGAGTTGGCTTAAAGGGAAGGTGGCCTTAAAATAGAGACACTAAAACACCAAAATATTTCTGTGAATCACACGGGGGGAAAAAAACATGGATTTGAAAATGATCATATTCAGCATATAATTTGTTTAGGGCAGACTTTTAAAGGTTTACGATGACCTTACAGCCTCATTCCTTCTACCTTTATCTGAGAAATACCACATTTCTCCACCTTTTACCCGTTATGGTGCACTTACCAGAAAGCCCAATAACCTCCACACTCTCCTCTATAGCACCCCCCACCTTTCCCGTGACAGACATGGGCCTTGATTACATCATAAGCTGCCCGAAACCTCTGCTTTAAAGCCTGGGATTTGTGAGCAGGGCCCTTCTGTTGCAGAGCAGAACAGAGAGAGAAGCGTTCGGGCCTTAATCTATCAGGCGTCAGTGTATATCCCGCTCTTCCTCCAGATTAAAGCCGAACCAGGTTGCATTCACAGATGAAAAAGACCTTATTTTTCTTCTTCTTTTTTTAAACTATATACTCCCTTCTGGGATTTTCCGATTGGACCCCTTAATAAGGTCAAGTGTATTGTGTGCATCTGTGTGGGCAAGAGAAATGGTAATTTTCCATGTAAGTCTCTATATAATGGTGCAGTCATACACTGCGTGACATGTATGCAAACTGTCACTGCAGATTAGAGGTTTTATTAGCACGCTTTCTTTCTCGCTAAGTCTCTCCCTTCTTTATTTCTTGATCACTCTGCAGTATAAAGTGCATTTCATCTTTTTAAATTTGTGATCAAAGTAGTAACAAAATAGCACAAGATAAAAGCCTCGGGATAGCTGTCACCAATTTTACCCACTGCATCATATAATGCTGGCGCTTCACCTAAAAATGTATTCTTTATTCTATTTAAAGTTGATAATGGAGTTTTTGAGAGTTTCATTTCAAAATAAGAGCTCAAATATCTGATAATAATATATGTTTTTAACTTCCAGCAAAATGTTGCTTTATTTATTTGACCTCTCCTCTCAAAAGGAGTTTACTATGAATAATTTTAAATACTGTAAAACCTCATTTTGTTGGCTAGAATGCCTCGGCTGTAAAGTCTCTTACATTAGTAGAAGAAAAAGACGTTTGCAGAATAGTTTAGCAGAACTCAAATATGCCATATACAGGCAATATTAGTTAGACACTACATTTCCATAACATTAACCCATTTACATTACATGCCTGTTAAATAACTGAATCCCTTTTTCCACATGAAGAGGTAACATAGGTATCTTATTCAAAAACAAGCTTTTCAGATTCATAAATTACTAAGTAGTTTGACTTAAATTACCACTTTGATTTGACTTGTTTTTGTAAACCTGGTTTTATGTTTTGGTAATTCTGATTTAAATGTAGTAAAAGTTGGTGGCTTTGTGTCATCTGGTCCTTTTTTTGAAGGCTCCTATCCTTCCTATGTGAAATGTGTTTAACTCCCTGATGAAGGTTTGTACATGACTGTGCCATGAGAAGAAACATCCTAAATAACCTAAATAACTGTAGACCTCATTCTTCTGGATGAATGAACACCTGTTAGGTGGTTACATCACCTGCATTTGTACCAATTGCTTCATATGAGAAGTTCGACTGCTGCACGGAGGTAATGCAGACATCATGGTGCACCACACTGCAGTGCACACTTTCAAACTTCAGATAGATCATCTGACATAAAATCAAACCAAAATCTAGGCAACTAGGTTTCAGTGTGAGTGCCTGCGCTCCATCCTGGAGGTGATAATAATAATAATGGATTGGATTTATATAGCTGATATGATATGTTTAGTGGTGGAAAAGCTCTCAAAAGAGAAGAGGCAGCGATATTGATTCTCCCCCGCCGGCAGACTAGGCTGCAGCACAAGCTTCAGTGGCCCAGCTCCACAGGGGGCACTGCAGGGTGTGAAGGGAGGGGTTGGTCATTCTTGTTGCCTGGAGTCGTGCAAGCAGACTCTGGGGCAGAGCTTTAATCTCCACTAATCGTTTCTTAATACGTGCATCCCAGGCCCTATGCCCGTGTATGCATGCACACACACATATGGGCAAACTACTTGCAGTCCAAGCCCCCGCTTGCTCTAACAAGACATAATCTCTTACCGCTCGCCCATAGGGCTGGACCACAACTTGAGAATGCATCTCTCATCAAGTCGATGAACTCAGTAACCTGCCTTTGATGTGCTCCTTAGGGCAGGGAACCCTGCTTTTGACCTATGCATGCCCCTCTAGTGTAAAATGGAAACTTTTCTAATCTGTGGAAATGTAATCAATTCACTCTAAATCAATTTCAATTTAGATCTAGGCGTCTTGCCGACATGTTGCTGATGAAGCGTCTTCCCCCATAATGTAGTCTAATAGTCTAATAATGGCCTCCTCACCTTCCCGGCTCACACCTCTGTCCACCTTCAACCCAGACACTGCGTAAGAACGATGATAATCTCATTTCACTAATGCTCAGTAGCCTGCATTAGAACACAGGCGAAGCACTGTCTCAGCTCAACTCTACCCACCCAGGAAACCGTGTGTGTGTGTGTGTGTGTGTGTGTGTGTGTGTGTGTGTGTGTGTGTGTGTGTGTGTAACAGAAAAAGAGAGAGAGAAATAGAGAAAGGGGCCAGGGGGGCTGTGGGATAGAGGGGGCACTGAAAAATGCGGTGTAACCTGAGCTGCTCGGTCCATCTGGAGAAGGCCTTGAATTGACAAGGGTTATCCCTCAATGCACTTTGCTGCAAAGAAGATCGTTAGACGGAGTCTGACACAATGGATCGGTCCTTTAAAAGTATTTATTTGCATTACACACAAGCAAATATGAATGCTAGATAAACAATTTCAGTGATGAGTCAGCAGGTGTGCACACACAATTAAGAACATGTCAAATCCTTAGATTCATGCCCAGACGGTTAGGCGTTATACGTGCGTGATATATCTGTAACACAAGACAAAAAGTGCAGTTAACCTGAATCAGTTGCCCAGAAAATATCAGCCAGAGCTGAGATCCTTTATGTCAAGTAATATGTATATCGCCACAATCTAAGCACTTACCCATTCTCTGTTTTAATGGCCAATCAGCACAAAAAGCAAAAGAGCCTCTGCAAAGGTCCAATGATGACATCCACGTAGATCAAATATAGCTAGCCTGCAGGCAAACAATACAAATCATATTAGCTAAAGCTGAAGTGTAGGCTATAAAGCAGGATTTAAGCAAAGGCAGATAAAGAGGTTTTAATCCCCAGATCCCCCTGTCACCTACATTAGCAGACCCTGACCCAGATATATGAAGCTCAGTATGGAGCTTGCTTTTTTCGCCAAACTGTCAATGGGCTGTTACAGCAAACCAAACTAACATTTGAAAGACTGCCTTACTCTCCACCCTTTCCATTTGGGGAAGGGAGGGAGGAGGGGAAAAGGCTGCACTGAAAAGAGAAGGGTAAGATGACACCGCACGGTTTGCCAATTATGCCATGGAGCTAAGAGAGGAACCCCCTGATGGCTGGCTGAAGGCGGAGGAGCTGAACCTGTAGACATAAAGTGGAGCACTTCGTCCCTCTCACACTGCAGAGCTGCACTCATTTGTCCACTTGTCAAAGACTGACTGATGAACCATTATTTTAATTACATTATCTTCATGGAACAAACTGCGAAGTATCAGTTTCTCCATTAAAAATCATGTTTGTCATCATTATTGTTTATTCTCCTGTCCCCACGCCCCAAATTAGTTAGTTTAGCCTACATCAGAAAAAAAAATGTATTCTGAAAATCTCTGCTTCTTCTTTTTCCTCTGATCTAAACTTCTCCAAATGAAATAGTAAGCTGAATATATATCTTGTTGTCCAAGTACTCAATCCGCCACTACATGTTTGAACAATTATGCGGTAAAACTGTCAGCCCGATCTTGCAAAGTGGAGAACAAGGTAATACTTTAGGATGCAGTGCTAGACTTTTTCATTGATTGCATTCAAATATCTTGTTTCAAGAAAACACTTACATTGATTTTTTTCCTTCTTGTTTTTAGAGGTGAAACCGTCTCCCAAAGCTAAAAATTGATTTCTACTTGTCCTGCCTCCTGCACGTCATCTTTTCTGAATTAAAGAAGCCAAACACTTTGGGAGTTTTATCTAGATCCTGATTGTTCTTTAAAATTGCTCGTAAAAAAGTTTATACCAAGTCACTGGAGCTTTGAGGCCAGGGTGTGCAGGGGAGGAACAGAGTCTCACCCCACCCTTCACCACCGTCAGCCACTCACTCATTGACTTAAATGAGCTTCAGATGCTTCTCTGCTTGGGGCTATTTTTTGTCTCCGTATTGTTCTCAGCTGGTGGATGCTCTCAGGCAGTAGTTGGCAAGTCTAGAACCACCGGATCCATCTACCTCACCAGTGTGAGTTCTACCATTGCCAAACACCACCTGATAGCTGTAGGGCCTCTTCTTACAAATGAGCCATAAACATGGTTGAAGCCACTAAGACGAGATGGCATTTAACTGAAGCTGAAAAGCATAGAAAGAAGTGTTATTTTTAAACCAAAAATAACAATGAAACGATGTGAAGAATAAGCTGGCTGTTTCATAGCCCTGCTCTGCTGATATCATCCTCCGGGGTCGTGGTTTAAGACAGACTAGAACAGAAGTGTCAGCTCCATATCCGCCAAAATACATGAAACCAAAGGTACAGCAAGGAGAATTCAGAGTACAATCATCAGCACATTTTAAATAATAAATACCAAATGTATCAATCCACAATTGTGCAAAAGCGATGGAAGTCTGTCTTGTCCTATATTGGCACTACACATAATTGCTCAAAGTATATATACAGAAGCAAAAATGTGCTAGTGCCAAAATGGGCAAAGAAGAGGAGTGGCTGGGGCATCCAAATGCAAGCAGTTGTTGTTATAGAGACACCTAAGGACAGAAAGATGCTGAAGCAAGATGAGCGCAGCACAGCTCATGCAACCGCACCAGAGTCATTACATCACATTCACCCCACCCACAAGCACAAGAGAGAGGAGCCACAGAAAGTAAGCCGCGATAGACGGGCATCGTCATCAAGTGGTTCTTTCTCTGCTCTGTTTATGGCCCTATGGTAATTCACTGATAGTGAGCTCTCACAGTGAATTCTACCAGTGCCATACACAGAACAGGAGTCATTGTCACCCCAACACCAAGGGACAGTCATCAAAACTATGCAAACTAGACCACCAACCCACAAGAGCAGAGCAGATGCAACAGCCTGGAGAGAGAGTGCGAGAGAAGAGAAAGTGAAGAAATTATTTTAGAACAGCCACAGCCTTCAATATGTCCGTAGTGTTGCAGTGACGCAGCTTAGCTCAAGACTGACTGCACTGCAGTGGACTGATCCACACACTGAGTAACAGGTCAAAGCCACTGTGCCTCAATGTGAGCAACTAAATATAAGTCCAGTCAATCCTACGAGTGAGCAAACACCCTCTTCTACCTGTTCCCGTCTAATCACCTGTACTCCCACTTTTAGATTTCTAGGAACAGAGAGCTAACCCTGACAGCATACGCACCTGATAATTACATATAAATAAGCATGTTATGCAGTTATAAAGCAACTATTAATGTTTTTTTGGTAAGTCGGATTTTATGTTGTTGCTTATAACATATCTAGAGGACATTTTACAAGGTTTCGTGCAATACTAACCCTGAATCTCAACACCTTACACACACACAATCAAGCCAAACAAAACGCTTGATGGATTTTGCTCTCTTTAATTTTTTTACTAAACAGTCAAGCAATTAATATTTGGGAGTGAAAGTCCAAGATTTTTCAGGAACAGGCGCTGTTTTTTATTCACACAGAACTGGATAACACTGACAAAATACATTAGCCACTGCTTTTTTGCTAAGACCAAACAAGGAAACATGTATGCACTCACTTCACTGATCAGTTATCAAACCCGCCGATGTCTTAAACTTAGGTTTGGCACATAAATGACCCTTACGTGGATTGATCAGTAATCCCTTTACATCCTAGCTCCTGCCCTCCCCCTACACAATCAACCTGCTCACAGTGTGACACCTTTAACAAACCTCTTAATTTGCTTGCTGTATTTGTGTTGAGGTGCATCAGTTATGTTATAATAACCCATTCATTTCAATCTTTAAAATCTGTGATAAAATAAAAGTTTTCATCATTGTTGATGTTGTTGTTATTTCAAGAGTTTACATGTAACTAGTATGAGTACAGGTAAAAGCTGGCTTGCAGGTTTTGTGTCAGTGAAATGAAAATAAGGATAAATTCACATATTGTGTGGTGTATCTGTGATTTGAGTCTGAGCTTTAAAAACAACAAATCCCAGTCAGACTGTAGTCAGACTAAGATATCAGCAATGAAGCAACTCAACTAATTCAAAATGTCTGTCAAATAAATATGCAAGGCTTCCCTTACAAAAATATACACAAACAACTGAGCCTATTTCTCTTTTCTTTCACATCGAAATAATAAATAAAAGGGTTTAAATCACGATACTGCAGCTGAATCATAACCTTCAAACCATCTCCTGACCTTGGATATGTTGTCAAAAGAATCTTTGCGCCACAGATAATCCGAATCAGAGAGAAGCTAGCTGTCCTCAGCGCTGTCCTGGCAGGGCCCAGACGCCCCACCCTTGGTTCAGCCATTAGCTTCCCTCACCCTGGGCCCTGCAGTGCGCGGAGCTCCCATTGATTCCAGCGATCAAACCATGTACTAAGTGATTCTTCAGACGCCCAAATGGCTCCCTGAGCTAGACTCCCATTGCCATTTCCTGGAGAAATCAATACCACTAAAAAGCCAAGTCCGGAAAAAAGAAGAAGAAGAAGAACCTGTGTCCTTTAAAGGTTTGCCCGTGTTTTTCCATACCTTAATTAGTTAAGAAAGGAGCTTCATGAGATTTTAGTAAGGTGTTTTTAAATGGGAGCCTCTTACTCATGGAAGTAGAACAGAGAAAAACAAGGACAGTATTTCTGAATGAAAATGAAATCAGAGAAAACATTACTTATATAATTTTGTTCAATAATTTATTCAATTTGTTCAATAATTTAAGACATGGAAACCTGCTCTTGTTAGCGATAAATGTAGGTTTATCTGGGAAATAAAAAACAATTTAAAAAGCCATCTTGTTTTGATATGTCGTGAAGACCAACTGTCAAAGGGAAAAAAACATATGTGAGGTTTGTACATTTGCAATAATTATGTAGCTTTTCTCACAGACAATTTCCTGATGTCGTCTTTGACAGCTTAATTTAAACCTAAACATGGCGCTATAGTTACATTTCATGAATTCAAACATAGGCCAACTTATTAAAAATCCAAGATTACATGAGAATATTACCTGAAATGATGTAACACGTCCAAAGGGATGTTTAGGAAGCACTCATAATTCCCTTTCATCGTGATTAGACACGCTGTATATTTTCGAAATGTTAACACTGCAAAGTCCGGACTTCCTTTTCTTTCTGTCATCGTTAATTTAACCTCAAAGCTGCTCCAAAGCCCCTTGTTAATCGCATTTGTCTGAATAGGGAGTCTACAAGTCCTCAACTTCACGGTTATTTCAGGAGGATTTATCACTCCTCTAAGTCCTGCAGCAAGATCTAAATTCAGTCTTATGACCTGAAACACACAAAAATCTACTTCAAGTCACATCTAAGTACTTTATATTTTTTTACGTTTATATTTAGGGACCCCTCCCAACCCCCAACACCCCCCCCCCTTTTTTTTTGGCCTGATTAGGAATACTGTCCTGTTTCATAACACCACACACCCTGCATACAATCCTAATTACCCTCAGTGTACAGGGATTTTAAAAAATGGGAAAGAAAAGAAAAGAAAAGAAAAGGAGAAAAAAATTTCAACATACCCAATTCAGTATTAATCCGCAGGATTAGGTTGAGGTCTTCACTGTATTCTCTTGGTATTGGACGGAAATAGAAGCAGGTGCAACGTGATTACATACCACAAAGCTCGAGCATCACCGAAAATAAAAAAGAGCCTATTTAATTATCACAACTGCATTAAATTGAACATTTATTTAAATAATATTTTATCAAAATTTCTATATATATATATAAATATATATATATATTTATATAAAAATATATACATTTCGCATTTCTGCTATTTAGTCTATTTCATATTAATTTCGACCACGTTTAACGGACTATTTGTGCGGATTTTTTTAACCCTCACGCCAGAAGAGGTTAAACAAAAGTAGTACCTTACATAAATTGAATTAATAGCAGTTGAAGTTTTTAAGTTGAAGTATTCGAATAGCCAGATTTATAAAACGACTGATCTGTTAGTAGGTCATTAACCATTCATCTTTTTAAAAAAACAAAGTAAAACAAATTGCAATATTAGCCAAGTATTTTGGTAGGTAACACGGCCTCCTCGCCCATCTTTTCTCATTTGATGTGAACCCTCTCTTTAAGCTAGCCTGTGTATTCGGCTGCTTTATTTAAACAACTAACCTGTGCGTTAAAAAAAAACAACAACAAAAAACCGAAATATTGTTCGTACCTTCCTCTCAGTCAATCGTCGTGCGTCACGAACCGCTCAGAAGTCGGACCCAACTCACATTTTAGTCCTTAACCTATCATTATCATTTGAGGATTTTCCGCTATTAACATTGTGTGGAAGTGACACAAACCTCCCGTTTGTGTTGCCCGCAGCAGGACTGCAGAATTACAATGAAACAAAAGAAATCCAAGCAGACTCCTGAACTTCCTGAGTATCAAATGTCAATTTCAGCCCTGCGCTCCTCTCTTCTCCTCTCTATCCCCCTCTCTCTCTCTCCTACCGGTTCCCCCTCCCCACACTGAAACCTCCTCCCATTTACCTGCGCGTTCCGGCTGCACACTTACAGAAAGATAGGTGCCCCGTGCACCTTTTTAAAGGCGCAGACACACAAAGCGGCAACAACACTCGACAAGAGTGAAACTACAGCCACTGAAATTCGCCAAAGTTTTAATATTTAAATTTTCTGAAACGTCCTTTTGTTTCAAATCTTTACTTGAATCCTACTTTTACTAACAAATTTAGAGCTATTTCTGTGTGTGAAATATGAGACAGGCCCCTACCCTTTAAATGGTATGCGCAAGGAACCGAAAATGGTACAAAACGCACCTCTGTTTGGCCTACCTGCATTCATAACAGTGGTCTTTTTTCTTCCTTTTTTTGTCTAGGATCAAACCCAGCTTCTATCCAGTCTCCCTTCTCTAGGTTAGAGTTGTGAGCACACATGCAAGGAATTGCCCGGTAGCAAATAAAAACACATTTTTCAAGCATCTCTTCCCACGAATCAAATAATCCAACCTTCACGAGCCTCTCTTTGCTCTGCTGCGTTTGAGGGCCTCTACAGTCTTTTTAAGAGTGGATCTCTCTGAAGAGACCTCAAACAGGGCGCTGTTTTTAACCCCGGGACTGCAGCACTCTGGGTGGATGAGGATTGGTTTTGTCTCCGGATTAAACGATTTCCTGACAAATAATTTGGACCAACCCCCTCTTCTGACTGGGCTAACCCGAGAAAAGGTTGCGTCGGATTCTTCTCCAGCTGGAACATGGAGATTATTCTATTTTGTCCTACAGCCCTAAACATATTTTAAGACATTAAAATATGTTTAGACAGTTAAAAAAATAGGAATGAGAGGAAAATTGCAAATTTAAATTGGGTCTTTCTGACTACATGATAAGAATTAACATTTACAGAACCTAACTATTTCTTCTGCATCTTAGCATTTTTCTGCAATCTTAATGC